GAGACATTCCTCGCTTGCAGAGCTAAACAGACAAGGCAACCACAGAGGAGATATTCTTGAAAGAGATGCATTTTATCTATCCATCTAAATGGCAGACATCCAGCCCCCTTCAGTAGTCAGTGGAGAGAGTGGACACCTTATCCCATTTCTCTAGACACTTACCTCAGGAGCTAACACTCTTGGGAAGTACATGTCTCCCTTTACAACCAGTAAAGAGAGAGTTGATTAATCATCTCATCTTGAAGCAACAAAATGCAGGTGAGCAGTAAAAAGCTGTAAAAAGCAGTGAGCTATAGGGGTTTCAATAGATATTGACTCAATGCCTAGTGTGTCATCCCTCCTTATTCATTACACGGTCCTTTAGTCCCTCTCCACACTTAGCTTTGACAGAAAGGAAACATCAGGCTGAAGTTGTCCATTTGAGCCCAGTCACTGAAAGGTGAGGAGGCACCTGTAAACAGCCAGAGACAGGATGTGTCTTGCCTCGTTATGCCCCAAGTTGTTTGCAGCTCCTCCCCTTCTCTCATCACTACCAAGGAAGTGAGAATAGCTTTCCTGTGTCTCGTACTGTAGTTCTCTTTCACAACAAGGTATGAATGTGACAGACAACCCTGTTCAAATTGCTAAATTTCTCCCTATGTCTGGTGAACTTAAATAGGACACAAGGCTTGATAAGATATAGACTCAAGCACAAGCACAATGCACAAAGGCATGAAAAATTATCCAACAGATGCCATTAATTTCCAGACAATCTAGATTTAGAAAGTTTCATATATGTGTGTCTAGCTGATAAACCTTAATACATAACAAGTCTTTTTCTCCAGTCAAGGCTTCTTCATGACTGCTGGGAAGTAGGATGGTTCAAAAGTCACTTTCCAGGCACTTCTTCATCAAGAGTTCATTTATTAAAGGTCTTCCTGTAGTAAGGTATCCACTGGTTAGGAACAAAGTTGTGACACTGATGCAATGAGAAATTAGGTCAACAATCAAGACTCTTGGAGATAGTATTGTCAGAAACAGTATAAATATACCTGAATACCTAAAAACTAAAAGCAAAGTTGTCTGGTGAAAAGTGGAAATAGTCTGACTCCAGTAAAATTCATTGAAAGGAATTCCTCCTATACTCACAGTCATTGGAGGTTGATACAATCAGATAAAAGACTACATCTCCCAGGGCTATATAGGTTGCCCGTGCTTCCAAGCAAGCTTAGAGAATATTCTTCGTCTTCAGAGGAAGAATATTCAATACAAATCCTTCAATTCCTGTGGTCCTAGTAGGTATTCCTAGATAGCCACCCATTTTGAATAGCCATCATTATATATGGCCTACTAGTGTGTCAAATCATGATTATAATTGCACTGGTTTCTTTTTCAGAAGAAGATAAAATTTCTGACCCTTCTGTTCTTCCTGGCAACGGGGATCCTAGTTTTTCTGTGCTTGCCGTCACTCTTCTTCCAGAAAACAGAGGGCTGGTCCTACAGTGAAGGAATTTACTTTGCATTTATCACCCTCAGCACCATTGGCTTTGGAGATTATGTAGTAGGTAAGGTTGACTTCAGAGAGGAGACACAGCAAAGCACCAGTGTCATGACTGTAATTATGATGGGTTGAGTGTACAGTCCACCAGTGTACTGTAGGGACAAATTTACATTAGCCTGTCTCGTACAGTTCTGGGGGTATTACTCATTTCTCTGGGGTTGCATGTGCTGACAAAACCAAAAAATTGTCTAAATATAATGAAATGTGGTGCTTTGGGGTGCAAAGAAGCCAAGCATTTTGAGGAGGCAAGAGGAAGTGTAGGGGAAGAATTCAAGGAGCCTAGGAGTTTGCGTATACCAAAAGGAAACAGTTTGAGACAGTCATACAAACCTAAGACTTGTGTTTCAAAATGTATGCTAAAGAAATAAGTGGTCATCTTTCAGAAGACATGATGTTACACAACAGACTGAGAGGTAGAAATCCCAGTCACGGGAAAGTGGGGAAATCCACTCGCTCTGTGAGAAGTGGGTCTTAAACATAGATACCACAATGAAAGTGGCCGTCTTTAGTCTCCTGTGCATCACTGGAGGCTCTCTGTCTTCACAAGCCAGAGCTTAAGATTTCCCCTGAAGACGAACTGTTTAAATTACTCTCTATCATGCTGGAGTGCTTCTCAAAACACTTCCATGAATCTGCTGACCAAAATACATACTCCATGGAATAAGCTTCCAGAGGAACTCTAAAATGATCACCAGGAGCCAAATCAGTGCCCACAGAAGAAACAATCAAACACCTGGATTTCATGGAGAATCAAAGTCTTCTCTACGATAACCTGTCCTGCCAGGACCTTGCCAGCCTAAACTTCTCTTCAGTGGGAATATGAGAAGGAAGCTAGTACTTCGAACACCGGTGCTGTCCCTACGGAGAATCTGGAAGCCTCACACCCCTTTCTGATGGGCGGATATCCACCACACAACAAATCCCAGGCTCTCAAGCCTTGCAGAAATGCAGGAGGGGCCTTGGAGCCTGCCTGACAGACTTGCTGTGTGTTTAAGAGATTTCTTACATCAGGCTGAGGACTTGGACAGAGGGAGCCCACAAGGTTTTCTTCCTGCTGACTTCAATTTCTCTCAGCCTGCTAAAGAGGCTGGGTAGTGCTTTGACAATACAGTTGATACCTTCCTTGTTTGCATGAGTTTAGTGATTGTAATGATCTTATAGACTACCTGATGGTTAATTCATGCAACAGAAACGAGTTAATTAGGCAAGATTTCCCCAAGTCATCCCAGATAGCTAATTGCTCCCTCTTGCTACAAAGCACAGAAACTCGTGCCCCTTGAAATTCCTCTTTTCACATAATCCAGAGAAAGATTCTTTGTCTCCAAAAATGGTTTATCAGTATTGCCACAAACATGAATCAGAACTCAGGCATCACCAGAGAATCTGTATCACACAGCAGTGACCTCTTTGCTCACTGTTTTCTCCAGCTGGGGACAATCTTTGTCACTACAGTGGAGGACAATAGGGCACAGGCATTTCCGTCTGTAGGGCTGATAACCTTGGCCTGTGTGATGCTGATCATCTTAAACTCAGTGGTGTGGAACACAGGAAGACGGAGAATGAGTGGTGCCATGTGGGAGAAAAAGTGAACATTAAACTGGTGCACTCTCTTCTCTTGTCCAAATTACAAATGTGTTTTACAATAGTGACAGCAACTCACAGCCTGAAAACCACTACCTCCATAGCACTTTCCTGCCCTGCAGACATGTTATTTTACAAATACAGTTACAAAATACCAATTAGATAGGCCTCCTGGCACTGTGATTTCATCTTCATTAGGATGACTTAACTGGAGCTGAAATATTTTTCCCTGAAGTATTTATCTCAGTTTGCCTTAAACAAAGGCAATAAAATGATAAGTTTAATGCCTCACACCTCTCAATGAAACAAGCAGAATCAATGACTGCTCTGAGCATTATTTTTTTAGAATTAATTACAGGTGACAAATGGATTTGCACTGCCCAAGTGGAACAGAACAGGTTTGAGTTTGTTCACATTTTAGCAATTCAAAATTGTTCTGTAGCTGTTGTACTTCAAGCATGAGATAAAACATGTTTTGGGTAGGAAGACAACAGTCTGGATTTAACTGTAATACATATAGGTGATACCTCCAGGGTGAAACTCCCTTTGGTCTGTACACTGAAGTTATGACCTAAGTCCAGTTTTGAGTTGCCATTACAAAGATATTACTAGTTCCTTTGCTAACCCCACATCATGAAGTTCAGGTAAGAACACAAAAGGAGATGCTTTGTAGCAAGCTTGGCATCCCCTCCGCCAACTCAACCCCAGCAGCAGAAACAGCTGTTGGATATCTATCCATGAGGTCAAACCAGCTCACTTTTGTCCCATTTTCACAGCTCTTGCATGCTGAAATACAAAAATCCTGCACATTGATCTGTGCACTACAGAGTTCTGCAGGACTTGAAAAGAGTTGCCAGCTGTGAAGCTCCTTCTGGGAAGCTTCAGGAAGGGAAATGGTCCACCAGCTTTGTCATCTCCTTGTCCATGCGCACTGCTGTGTTACCTACTATGTGGAGTCACTCTTGACAGTGACTTATAGCACTTGATAAGCAGTATCACCAAGTTTTCCTGCAGATGCAAGAGCCATATAAGCTGTATCATGATGATAATGTTGTGTGGGACTGAGTGCAGTAGGAGCAAATGCTCTCTGTATGGTGGTGTATTGTTGAATGGAGAAATAAAATGACCCATGCAGAAAAGCATGCTGTGTGATACTGGCTGATGGTAAGAGGTTTGGACTGCATGAAGTAAGTTTTGGCCTGGTTTCCATCACAGAAAATTGTATTCTTGGCATGTGTCAGTGAGTTCTCAGCAGTTACATATTGTTTTAATGGAAGAAGTGTCTCAAACTGTTCAAGAGTAAATTAGGAGTTTGCAGCTACTGTCCTTGTATGATCAAGGGTACCTATAATTCAAAGCAAATATTTATGAAGTTATAGTCACACTTTATAGAAATACACAGAATCACAATAACCTAGGTAGTAGTAGTTGTGTGGTTATAATGGTCCACTGTGCACTGCTCTTTGTGCTTTGTGAGTTTGGGAGTATTTTCAAGATAATACCATAATCAATATATGAATTCCAATATATCTTTTGACAGGCCAGCATGTACCAGTTTATTGTAACAGCAAGAGATTGCCCAGCATTAACCTAATGCTGGGCAGGTGAGAGACTCCATTATAATGAAAAAGTCACCTTAAAGTACTCAACATAAAATACATCAATGAATCCACTAGGCTGGTCCACTTTACACCAGCAAAGAAATTTTAACTTGATCATTTTCTTCTTCTTTCTTCCTCCTTATCTGCAGGTAAACAGCCTGACAGGAATTACTTTTCCTACTATCGAACACTGGTGGCCATTTGGATCCTTTTTGGTCTTGCCTGGATTGCTCTCCTATTTAATTTATTGACAACGGTACTAGAAGATACTGAAAAAATAATTGTCAAGGATATCCATCAAATTGGAAAGGTGAGTAAGGACAATGTAGCAAGCCAACAAAGAAGATGCTGGCCTGCTGAATTTATTCCAGAAGAAGAGCTACTACCACCACATGCTGGAGGGGATGCACAGAAAATGGACTCATTAGCACCAGATTCTGAGCACCCAAACCCTGAAAAAAATACTTTTTCTTAGAGCAAAACTATTGCCATAGCGTGTGAGAAATGAATTCTTCAGTGGAGAGTTACTAGTTAATTTTCTAAAGAAATTCCCATGGAAATAAAATTTCTCCTACCTTTTGCTGAGATACGACCTTTCAGAACTCAAGACTTAGTTACACAAAGCCTGAATATTAATGGTAAGAAATTTGCTCCTCAATTTGCAGCTAGGTTGTGCTAACAGCCTGAAAAGTGCACTTGTTTTACAAGGCATTTTTAAGATGCTTCCATGAAAATGCAGAAGAGGGGCATGGTAGAGCTTGCTGGTTCTATTTCAATTTTGCTGCTTGCAGTCATGTCTCTTCCAGGAATTGGCATGCACAAGCTTTTCTGAGGCATTGCATAGTACCTTTGGAAGAAGAAATAAGGGTATATAATGTAATAGATGCCTGATTTGAGCCATCATATTGGCTAAGCTATTATGATCTAAAACATTTTAAAGGACAAGATCTGAGCTCAGTTCAGAGACACTAGAAACATCTAACTGACAAGGTTAGAGAAAGGTTAATATGTTAGAAATGATAAATTCTACCTCTTCCTCTTTTATACTAAGATGAACAAAGGCAATTTCACGTTTTATTCTTGTGGCTTTGAATAATCTTTCTGATTATATTTATACAGAATAAATAAAACCTTGTCTTTAATTCAAATTTTGTAGTAATTTTATTCTATAATCATTTCAAAAGAACAGAGACAGGTCTGAATAGAGGAGACATCAGTCATCAGTGCCTTGCTGTGGTGTTTGTATTCCACAGGAGCTATAAAGTTTAAAATTACTCTACTGTCCTGTGCTAAGATTGCTTTCCAAGTGCAAGTGTTGTCTAAGCAGTGCAGCCTTACTTTCTGCCAGGTAGAGAAAGGATGTTTAATCTGGGCATGCTGTTTAAGATGTACTGCCTGGCGTGCAGACTTTGCCCTTTAAAGGCTTGAAATATGTGTCAGATGCCTTGTGTGTGCCAAAGTGCACAAAACCCTACCTTGAAGTGCTGACAAAGCAGCTGTGGAAGACACAGTCATTGAGATGAAAAGTCCCATAGGTGTATATGGTTATACTAGAAGTCATTCTAGTCAAATATCCTGTCTCTGACCATGCCTACTAGCATATGCCTCCAAATAGCGTAAGAAGAAGGCAGCTCTGCCATGTTCCCTCTTCCAGTAGTTGGTGGCTCAAAAGCTGCCCAAACAAGAGGTGGGTCCTTCGTATTTCAAAGTCCATGAACCTGCCCAAATGCTGAACTCACACCAGCATCTATGGGACCCACCCAAGGCAGTCCGTAGGTTTAGCGCACAATGGGCCTTCCTTTGATGGTGCTGCACATGTTGCTTGACAGGTTTATATGATCTTCTCAAGGCCCAGTTTTGTCAGTGGGTAATTGGTCTTGGCTCCATCTCTGGGTGTTAGTTACAGCAAGACCAGTCCTTGCCAAAGCTATTCCTGTGTGAAAGGGAGAATAAACTACAGCTATAAAGTAATTTTAGGCTATAAAGATGCAACCAGCCTCGAAGTTGAATTCATAAGGATTTCAGCCAAACAAAACCACACTTCTTGTCAAAACAACTCTGCTGGCTCAACTCTACCTGGCATGTAGAACTGACCAAATACGTACTGTCTTTCTGTTCCCAAATTATTTTCTAGTGTTACCCTTAAGGCTGACTTCTCACCTAATATATCTCACTGTCAGTAAACCTTTCTGAGGTAGCAGGAACAAGAACTGTATGAAACTGGGGTAAGGTGGCAGGGATATTGTAGGAGACAGTGGTCCTTCTGCAAGCCATGATCTTGTTACTGTCACAAGGCAACAACACCATAGCCAGGCAAAGAAAGCATCTGGGTGCTCCCAGGCAGGGATCTCTTCACCTCTCAGTTTTGCTCTTTTGCTCTCTCAGCAAGCATTGACTCACATTATTATTTTCCAGGCATCATTTTTTCTCTTCTGTCTTTTCCCACTAATTCCTAGAAGGTCCATTAATAGAGATGCAGTCAGAGCCGGTTTAGGGAGAGGTGGTCCTGCCTTGGGCTGTGATGGCCATTTTGCACAGCTTCTTGTAATTCCTTCCAGGTCAGTTCCTGGCATTTGATGCCACCCTAGGTGGCAGACACCCTTTGGGCCAGCACAATGCAAGTCTTTTTGCTGTCCCTATCGCAGGGGAGAAAGAAGAGCCTACAAGAAACATCTTGAATTAAACACACCTCTGAAGAGTTTTCTTCTACTTCTTCCCACTGTCCCACTTGCTCCTTGTCATGACAAATAACACAACCCAGATGTAAAACAAGCTGGTAAAGTCACATTGCAACAGAGAGCATTCAAGGATGTTTGTTTAGACATTTCAGGAAGGACAAGACAGATTGCACAGGGAGTCTGTAAATAGCAAGCAGAGAGCCAGCCAGTGGCATTTTAAGCACAACAGGACAAATTCTCTGGGCTTCACACTGATGGGTGTATAACAAGTCATGAAACCAAGGACTTATGTTTCCAAAAGTCAGTCTGCTCCAGGCAGCTATTGTCATAGGGTGCAAGAAATTCACATTTTAACTCTTTCTCTTTAGCCATGCTCCCTGGCTAAGGATGTGTCCCTCCAGACAAGGCAGAGAGGGACTGAAAAAGTCACCCAGGGCCAGGAGAGGTGGGAAGCATGAGCCAGGAATGGCTGTGATGGGGCTGTCCTCCTTCAGACACCAAGAACTGACATGTCTCTTCAGCTGTAGATGCCAGCCTGGGAACAGAGAAAACGCACCCACAAGCATACAAAATATAAAAGCTCTCAAGAGAAATTCAGACAACTGCTGTAAGAACAGTAGCCGTGGATACTCATACCTGCAAGGAAGCCTCGAGAAGGGTCTCAGCTTTGCTTCTTGTGCCCTCTCGTGGCTGTGTGCGGCAGACCCCATCCCTGTGCATTTCTGTCAGGTTCGTGCACTTTTACTTTACCTCCTACTGTGCAGCTCAGCTGATGTAGCTGGTACAGCCCTGGCCAGTGCAAGTCCCAGTACAGCAGCTTTGCCAGTGTGAGCCAGAAGAAGCCATCCTGTATTTTTATGCAGTTCATATGAGCTTGCTATGAGCTAATGCATGACTTATTCTCAAGAAAGAGATGGGGATGGGCACCCCGAACTGGTCCAGCCAGGGATCCTGCCTTGTACTCACACTGAAAGAGCTTTGTGGATGTCAGTTGGTGATGTGACAGCTTTCTGTCAGCAAACCATCATCCTCACTGGCAGCACACACAGTGCTGACAACAAGGTATTCTCCTATCACATGCCCCATGCCCCAGCTTCCCCTGCATAATATCTGCTACAGGACTGAGGCACACACACCCTCTGTCCCACAGAGAAAGGGATTGGTCCAGAACAGATCTGCACAATAGCAGATTTGGGTGCAGGCTTTAGGCCAGGATGATCTGGCCTGCCCTGTGGCAGCCTTGAGTGCCAGCAGTGCCTCATGCAGCAGAAGAGGTGGAGATAGAAGCTGCAGGTATGCAGAAGAAAGAACCAGCACCAAAGGGTGTGTGGTCCTCTCTGCTGGGAAAGACAAGGGAAAAGCCCAGGAAAGTTGCAAGCCAGGCTGGGAGAGGAACTTTTTTGGATGCAATATTTTTCCTCACACTTATGCAGAACAATAAAGCTGTCTCCAGAAGGGCTTAGGCACAGAAAGAAACCTTTCCAGAGCTGGAGTGAGCAGCCTCTTCCAGCATTATCATCCTCTGAGCACCACACAACAGCAGCAGATCCTGTCCTCGCATCACCTCTGAAAGGGGGAGCTGTTGCTTCCTACACAGGTAGTAGGGGCCCCCAAGAAAATTAAGTGTATCAGTGAGCTCATGCATGAGACCTTTGGCAAACATCTGGTCTAGTACTCTCTCAATGAGAATCAGGTGTCCTGGTATTGCTTACTAATAAAGTAGACACAGCTAGTGGTCCTGTAGTTGCCAAAGTTAAGAGAAATAGTCTTGAATTGACAGCAAAGTTAGAACAGAACTCCACAGCTGGAGATCTAAAATTGTCCCAAGACTTTTAACTCATGAGTCTAAGCCAGGCGTCAGCTCTTCTGCAAGCTCATCTTGCCCAAAGGACAGAAAACAGGGACAAAACCCATTCCAAAAAGAAATCCCTGTTCTGCCAAGCAGCAAGGTGGCAGCAATCCTCCAGAGACCAGGTGGAGGGGTTCTCCATCCTGCAGATCTGTACAGAGTGGAGCCTTTCCTGGGAGCTGTTCAAAAGCCCTCACTGTGACCCAGCCCCACCATGCTGCTCAGGGAAATCCAGTTTCCATGGAGCAGCCTCCTGTGCAACTGCCAGCTCTCCCATTGCAGCTTGTTTTCAAATGGAAAACATTTCCAAGACAAGCCAAATACTTTCACATACATTAAACCAGTTGCTAAAAACTCCAGGAATATGATCATGAAATATATTATCTTAGGTTAAATGGCAACAGCAGGCTAGGCTGCTCCTCATGCATCACCCACGTCTTTGCTGTTTGCCAGCTAGAAAACAGTGTGCATTTCTGCACATGAAACCAAGGAAGTGCCATGAGGAATTATCTTTCCCTTAGAAAGAAGCTCCTCAGAAATCATATTGCCTCCAGAGAGAATAAGAGAGACTGCACTTTGATCTGTCTTTAATTAGTATATGGGATTGTTTAGGGATCATTTGAGGTCTCCTTCAATTAATAGCCAGTTCATTTGGAGAGATTAAGGTTGTGGATTTTTTCTGGAAGCAGAGACACTACTCAAAGAAGTGGAAAAGTCTGGCTAATGTAATATCATATAGCCAGTGGGATAATTTTTTTACAGAAATTACTAAATGTGGGCCACACACATGCTCTTTTCCACTCTGTCACACTTGGACATGTGCTTTCTTGCCTGAATCATGACCAAAAGGCACTGTATCCAGCTCAGAACTGTTTCAACAAACATAACTGATCGTTCTTCAAAAGCCTGTTCTCCATCCCTCATGATCACACCCAAAGAAACAAAAAA